GGAAGAAAAAAAAACAAGAAAGAGAAAGTGGAGGATTTCACTTTAAGTGCAGTAAACCAGGCAGCTTCCATGTGAGTTACCTATGACTTATACAGACCTATATGATTTGGAACTTGCCTACTTGAAAGACTGTCACCCTTCCCCAACCCCATACTTGTTTTTAAAGGGAGGGAGTTAGTGCTAGGACATTTTATTTGAGTGCACATCTAGGGTACGTCTAAACTACATGCCTCTGTCGGCAGAGGTATGTAGATTTGTTTGTTCAGCAAAGGCAAATGAAGCCGCGATTTAAATGATCGCGGCTTCATTTACATTTACATGGCTGCCGCGCTGAGCCGACAAACAGCTGATCAGCTGTTTGTCGGCTCAGCGCGGCAGCCATGTAAATGTAAATGAAGCCGCGATCATTTAAATCGCGGCTTCATTTGCCTTTGCTGAACAAACAAATCTACATGCCTCTGCCGACAGAGGCATGTAGTTTAGACGTACCCTAGATGTGCACTCAAATAAAATGTCCTAGCACTAACTCCCTCCCTTTAAAAACAAGTATGGGGTTGGGGAAGGGTGACAGTCTTTCAAGTAGGCAAGTTCCAAATCATATAGGTCTGTATAAGTCATAGGTAACTCACATGGAAGCTGCCTGGTTTACTGCACTTAAAGTGAAATCCTCCACTTTCTCTTTCTTGTTTTTTTTTCTTCCCATGAGTCACTGGAGTGAGGCATGAAGTTTTCTTTCCCAATCTCTACCTTCTTGCCCTGGTAATACCAAGATCTCCCACTTCGAGTCAATATTCATTGTGCTACCAGTTGGTCAGAGGATTAGCCCCTCAGGCATCTCCTTTTAACATTTTTTTCCAGCATCTTAATTTTAAAATGAGACAACGTAAAGGAGAAAGATGGAGGGGGCAGATAGTACCTGAGAAACATTAAATTTCCAACGCACAGAAAGACTTTTATGCTCTCACCTCAGCTATATTAAGCTCCTTAGCAACCATCTAATTCCTCTTAAAGTTATCGTGCATCACCTTTTTTTTGACAAGGACTATGTTATTTCAGAATAATGGCAGTTATTCCAAAATAACGCTGCTGTGTAGACATAGCCTGAGAGCCCAGCTTTGGAATTTATGCCCCACCTTAGTTCAAAACAGAGTGCAGAGACAGTATAGCCCAGGGTGGATTGTGGGAAAACATTGGACTTTCAACACTTGAGTGTCTTGGACCTATATCCAAATGACAGAGTTGTCAGATTACCATATTGAATGTCAGAAACAGTCAAGCTTTTAACTTATACTCCCAGAAGAACCAGCTAGCTTGGGTACAAAGCATCCTAATACTCAAAATAAAATGTGTATGAATGGGACTCAGATTAGGAGTGACACCTGAATACGAACCTGAGTTAATTTTGAAATGAAGACGAGCCTAACTCAGACTACATTCCACATGAGGATGGATTACAGGCTATCAGGAACACCATCCCTGATGACACCACTGCACACCTGGTTACAGAACTCTGTGACTTTGTCCTTGCCCACAACTACTTCAGATTCAGAGACAATTTGTATCTTTAAGGCAGCAGAACAGCCATGGTCACCCGCATGGCCCCACAATATGCCAATGTCTTTATGGCTGACCTTGACTAACGTTTCCTCAGCTCTTCCCCTCTAGCACCCTTACTCTACTTATGCTACGTTGATGACATCTTCATCATATGGACCCACAGGAAAGAGACCCTTGAAAAATTTCACAGGGATTTCAACAACTTCCATCCCACCATCAATCTCAGAATGGATCAGTCCACATGAGAGATCCACTTCCTTGACACTACATTACAATTACATGACTGACATTTCCACCACCTTATACTGGAAACCTACCTATCACTACACTTACCTTCATGCCTCTAGTTTCTATCCAAGACCCATTTTTCAATCTGCTGTTTACAGCCAAGCCCTAAAATACAAGGGGATTTGCTCCGATCTTACAGATAGAGGCAAATACCTATAGGATCTATATAGAGCATTCTTAAAACTGAAATACCCACCTGGAGAAGTGAAAAAACAGATCGACAAAGCCAGAAGAGTACCCAGACATGAACTATTTCAAGACAGGCCAAGAAAAGAAAACAACACAACTCCACTTGTCATCACCTACAACCCAAAACTTAAAACCCTCCAACGCATTATCAACAATCTATTATCTATCCTGGAAAATGACCCCTCACTCTCACAGTCCTTGGAGGAAAGGCCAATCCTTGCCTACAGACAACCCCATAACCTCAAAAAAATTATTTCCAGTAACCAAGCAGCCAGCCCTCCACTGCCAGCTCCTAGGAGCCTGCTGGGGCTTGGAGAAGCTGGGCGCCTTCCTGGTCCATGGTGGAGATCATGGACCTTATTCAGGTTTGTGGGGGGATGCCCCCAACATCCATGATCTCCGCACTAAACAGAGGATCGCGGCTGTCTATAGCAGGATAGCTGCCAGCCAGGCCACCAAAGGACACATGCGAACCCAGGAGCAGGTTTGCATGAAAATCAAGTTGGTCCAGCGAGACCCCCCCAACCCTGAGCTCTGAGCTTCCCCTCCCACTTCTTCCCCTTGGTTCCCCCTTCCTCCCAGGTTTCCCCCTCCCCCTTCCCTCTCCCATCCACTTTCCCCAGAGTTTCATTCCCTTCCCCTCCCCCCCGTTTTGTTAAATAAAGAGAGTTTGTGTTCAGGAAAATACATGTATTTTATTTGACATCTGGAAGGGGGACTAGGGAGGGGTAAGTGGAACGACATGAGGGAGGAATGAGGCACAAGTCCCCAGTGGGGCAGACCAGGGAGGCTCTTAGTGCTCCTCAGGGTGGAAACACTCCCGCTGGGCCTTCTGGATACTGACAGGTCCCCAATGGACCACCCGGATGACAGCCTGCAGAAAGTGCTGTCCCTCATCGAGGTAAGCAAGAAAGCAGAGAAAGCTGAGAACCGGCTGTCCAGGGAGGGTCCCTTTAAGCACAGGCCTCAGATAGCCTCAGGCAGCAGCCACACAAAGTAACTCCTGACCTAATGCCCTGCCAGACCTGGTTCCAGCCAATCTTAAATGCGTTTCAGTGTCCACTCAGTGTGGACATGCTATTTTGAAATAGCAAAACACTATTTCAAAATGCATTTTGTGTGTAAATGCGTTATTTTGAAATAACTTATTTCGAATTAACTATATTGAAATATGATATTTTGAAATAACGCTGTAGTGTAGACATATCCTAAGGGAAAGAATTAATGGACACAAATCAGATAGCTGAAAAGGTAACACACAGAAACCTGTTTGAGAATGCTTTAACCTGGCCGGGCACTCATTAATGAATCTCAGCATCACAGTGCTATTTCAGGCCAATTACGCGAGCCAAATACACAGGGAAGTGTTGTAACTTAACATTATTTACAAGTTTGGGAGCCATCACAAAGGTGTGAATAAAGACTCATGTGGCTAGCACACTACCTTCCACATCCTAATGACTTAAGAACAATTTGCACATTCTCTAAGTACCCATTGTTTGGTTGGTTATCAGCTTCTTGTAATGTGAACACTCTAATTCACTATTTTTTTTCCTTTCCTCTCCCCTGCACATCCCCTATTTATTTTCGAACTGGTCTTTTAATACTCCATTCATCTGAAGAAGTGGATTGTACCCACGAAAGCTCATGATATCATCTACATGTTTTGTTAGTCTTTAAGATGCTGCTAGATTATTCATTGTTTTTCAAGTTTTTTCAGACTACATTATACCTTATTATTTGTGATGTACCCAAATGGTGTACTCTGGGATAATGAAAATGGATTAGGGAGTTAAGAGAGAGGAATGTTTTTAAAGATGGGAGCTTAATATAATAATATAAATTAAAAAGACTTTTAAAAGAGAATTAGATAGAATTTAATTCTTATCTAGTCATGGTCATTCACCAGATAGAACAAACTGATACTTAATTCAATTTGCATTTTTGCTTTTCAGTTCAGTTCTTTTCTTTCATTCTGGATCATAAGAGAGATGTACCTTACCTTAAGTTATTTCACTGTCTAATGAAATTGGCAAAGATAAATGTTTGTGTAATTCCAGGTATTCGTCACAGGGAGTGCAGAGACATACAAAGGCAAGAATCTGAAATTACTTATCAGTTTAAGGTAAAAATCAATATTTTGTAAGGTGAAACATTGTATTGCTTTGTAATGATGGGTATTATATGTGTAACCACCTCCAGTCAAATTCAAACCTGAAATCTCTGGAGCTTAGTGTAGGAGCGTCAATAGCTTGAACTATAAAGCCAACTGGCTCTCAGCTTAGCCTGGCTCTCACTCATTCTTGAGCTATAAAGCCAACTGGCTCTCACTCATTCTTAATTCTTGCTGTATGTGGTCTAAGTGCCACTACATGGGACAGTGAACCACACCCCATAAGTGTGGGTTACGTAGGCACACTCCATACATGTATCTAATCTACATATTACACTGATTTCAGCAGAATCCCTAACTCCTAGGGCAAAGCAGATTAATATTTCATAAGTTAAGATGACGTACTGGAATGTGTAACCCTTTTGCAGCTTATCACAAGTTATAAAGTAATTCATAAAAAATGCAAGAGCACACAGATGTTAATTAGCCATAAAGACTCTGAGGAGAATTCACTAGCATTTTTTAAAATGTAATTATTCAGTAACCACCCAGTGTCGTTGCACCAGTTCTGAATTGCAACTTACACCGTCAGAAAAATGATATTTCAGGCCATGGTCATTTTCCTCACTGAAAAAAAACAAAACCCACAGACACTGAGGCAGTTGGTATTCATAGTTGCCTAGCAACTAACAGAATGGGAAAAGAGCAAGGGAGGGTGGCCTAATAATTAATTATAGTCAGCGATAGGAGGCCAGCTACTGTTTGGATTTGCACAGCTTAGTTTTCACTTAGAGTCAGTCATTTGAACTATTTCTTAAAGTGGTGCCTGACAATATACTTAAGTCAGTAGTACCTTCCTGAAAGTGTCAGGGATGTTCATGATGGAAAAGTTTGTTTCTCGTGGATGATGGATTCATAAGATCAGCACTGACTTCCTCACTGCATGGGACAATTGACTGTCAAGAGATTAATATCTGCCATCAGTGAGCTGAATGGAAAAGACAAGAAAAAAGGTCAGAACCAGAACCATTTATAAAACCCAACCCAGTAGGAAAAGGACATCTGCTAGAAGGAATAGAGAAAATAAAATTCAGACCAGTATTGCTCCCTCTCCTTTACTTATCTAGAGAAAAGACATTTTGAAACAAATAACTGCATGAAAAAGTTACTCCTAGTTGGGCATGCCCTGACTTTTCTTCCCCTCACTTTTTGACCTAAAACTGTATTTACATCTATACAACGTGCTAACCTAATGCATGTCTACATGCACAAATACAACAGTATTAGCAGCACCAATGGAGTCAAGTAATTTGTACTACAAATATAACCAGCCTGAAAAGTTATATAACAGGAAATATGCTCCATATTCCATTTTGGTTTGTGTGTGGGTGACAAAATTAGGCACAATAAAAAGACAGAACTTTATCTCTGTCCTACACAAACAAAGCTGTGTGTATAACATGCTGGCAGATGCTTTTTCTGTACCTGTTTATTCACTCTGCAAGCACTGACATTTAAATTTAAAGGGGGCAAAAGTACACCTCACGCCCACTTAAAAGGAGTAACTATAGTCATACCATGCTGCACTAAAGGAAAAATAAGCAACTCAAAGAATGCATATCAAAATAGGAGGAGGTAAAAAAGAACACCAGCGAGTGTCCTCTGATCGGTTTCAGAAGATGCATTTTATTTTATTCTTGTACTAAAATGGATGACAATTTTCTTTCAAAGACACTTCCAAAAGGTACTCTTCCTCCCCCTCCCCAATACAAGCAACTTTTAGAGGGTTCAATCTGTTTAAACATTTAAAAATGAGATTAAAGAAATACTGATGCTTGTGTTTGCTAGGTACCTAACTCCCTTTGGCTCTTTTGACTATTCCCAGATTCAGCACACCACCAGCTGGCTCTGGGAAAGTGCATTGATTGTGATCTGTTGCTACTATGTGCACTGACAAAATGAAGTACAATGGGAGGGAAAAATCATTTTGGGGGTTTACAATAGCCTGCTTTCTTAGTCTGTACATTACCAATATGACTAGAGCGGAGTCTAAATTTAGCTCTACAGTAGACAAGTCATGGGAAGGAATAAATAAGACCAAAAAAACCCCACAAAAAAACAGACCAAGAGGCTCAGATTCTCTAAGGTATTTAGGTGTCTGCATATCTTTGAGAATCTGGACCAGAATGTTCCCATGTTACTTATTGAATGATTATTCTTAGAAAGTGTCAGGATATGAAACTGCCCTGTTAAGAAGCTATAAAGGTTGTTCAAGACTGTCACTGATTATTTCCTATTGTACTGGGTGACATATGGATAATTAAATCTAAGACTAAGTACCTGTAGTATATTAATAACCCCAACACTCACTGTTACTAGAGAGACAGGATGGATAACATAACACCTTTTATTGGACCAATTTCTGTTGGTGAGACAGACAAGTTTTTAAACCACACAGGGCTCTTCCTCAGGTCTAGGAAAGGAATTGGCAGCATCACAGCAAAATACACAGTGGAATAGATTATTTAGCATAAGGAGAAAGACTGGATTTTAAGGTATCAGTCAACAACTCTGCAGTCATAGGATAAAAAAAGGAGGTTAGTGGTTACAGATTGTTGGAGTAAGCCATAAATCCCATATTTCTGTTAAATTCATGATTTTTAGTGTCTACTAGAGTAATGAATTTAAACTCCCTCACTAACAGAAGTTGGTCCAAAAACAATTACTGTACCTCACCCAACTTGTGCGTCTAATATACCAGAACCGATATAGCTAGAACTACACCACATTCATTGTTACTGTCAGTCTAGGGTTGCCAACTCTGAATTAAGTTAGTCCAGAATATTTTTTCCGCAACATGATAATCAGATCTCCAGGTTTGCTTTTCATAGTCACAGGGTGATTGATGCCGATTACGGGAGACTCCAAGCCAGTCCTGCAGGATTGGCAACATCGGCTGTGTCTAGACTGCAAGGTTTTTTCAAAAAAAGTAGGGTTTTTTCAAAAAATCTTCACCTGCGTCTAGACTACAGCTGTATTCTTTCAAAATTAAATTGAAAGAATGTGGCTTTTCTTTCGACAGCGGTACTCCTCATTTCACGAGGAATGATACCTTTTTTCGAAAGTGCTCTTTCGAAAAAAGGCGCTATGTAATGAAAACTGTGCTTTTTCAAAAGAGAGCATCCAGACTGCCTGGGTGCTCTCTTTCGAAAAAGCAGCTTGCTTTTTTGGAAGTACTGGTTGTAGTCTAGATGCTCTTCTTCGAAAGAAGCTTTTTCGAAAGTATCTTTCGAAAAAGCCTTTTTCGAAAGAGGCTTGCAGTCTAGATGTAGCCCCCATGTCAGACATTAGCTTGGTGGGTTTATAAAACACATATGCATAGTCTTCAAAGTATTTATGAGGGATTATATTGCTCAGCTGATTAAAATAAATAAATGTGAAAAGAAAAGCAATTAGCTTTTAATTAACAGCTTGATGTTCTTTGCTTAAGCTAACAGTCTATTTGGAAGAGGAACAGCCTTATTTGGATAGTTTAGAGAGGATTTTTGGCCAACACAGATATTAAGAGTTTAGAGCATCACACCCCGAACTTCATGGTCATATCTCTTCCCCATTCTGCTGAAAAGAGATGTAATCATGTCAACGCCAGTCTTCAAATAAAAATGTTGGCCATTGTTAAATACTGGAAAATACAAGAAACGAATACGAAACATTTATGTAGGAAATATCAGTGTGTTTGAAGGAACAGTATCAATGCTGACTACCTCAACATTTTAACAAATTCAGAAGTTAACAGTTTTTTCCTCCAAAATCTGGTCTTTTGGTTCTAGGAAACTAATACATTAAACATTAAAATATCAGTTTCTCTACTGGACAGGCTATTGTACGAGTCCACAATGCAGAATGATTTCCAATGTTAATTTGTGTGGCATGCCTTGCCAATATTATTGTTGGGAGAAAACAAGATTCTGAAATTTATTTGCCTGAAAGCCAAAAAGAAGTAGGGGAACATTTATGTTTGGGACTAACAGAACTGACAGTGCCTTATTTTGACCTAGGATTGTGTCTCCTTTGGGTGCTAGGATAGAAGACTTGTATAAAACTGGATTCAAATCTTAGATGAGATTTCCAAGATCCCCAGCTGCCACTGAAGTCTATGGCAAGACTCTTTGTGATTTTAACAGAAGGAAATACAGAAAGAGAGAGAGAGAGATTTGCAAGGGAACATGGTCTTGTTATACTAGTTTGGGCTAAGGATGTTAAGGACTAGTCGACTATCTGATAAGCAAATGATTATCGAATAGTCGAGTCGACTAGTCGCTCCCCCACTTGCTGCCTCTATCTGATATTTAAGAACAGGTTAGATAGACATCTGTCAGGGATGGTGTAGACGGAGCTTGGTCCTGCCTTGAGGGTGGGGGGCTGGACTCAATGACCTCTTGAGGTCCCTATTATTCTATGATTCCAGTCCTATTATTCTATGATTCTAAGGGGGGGAAGAGAAGGTACTTCAAAGTGTCAGTGCAACATGGAGCCCAGGGTATGGCCCGGGGCAGCACCACATGGAGCCACATGCTGCTTTGAAATGCCGTGCAGCATTTCCATGGAACCCAGGATCAGCTGGGACTTCCCATGCTCCATGCGGTGCTGCTCCGGGCCGTACCCATTTAAAAGTGCATGGAGCCCTAGGGTCAGCTGCGGAGTCCACAGCTGACCCCAGCTCCACGCAGCATTTCAAAGCAGCAGCGCTGCATGGAGCCCTGGGTCAACCTCAGGCTCCATGTGGGCACTTCCACTTTGAAATGCACAAGAGCTCCCGCTGGGGACTCTTATACATTTCAAAGCCGGCACACTGGCTGGGGCTCTTGTACATTTTAAAGGAGGAATGCGGACGTGCCTACTGACTAGTCGAGTAGTTGATGGAAATTCCATCGACTACTCGACTAGTAAATTAATCAATATTTAACATCCTTAGTTTGGGCAAGTCACTATCTTTATCCTACTTGAAAGGAAGGAATAAGGGATCTTCCGGAAAAGGGCTTATTTTCTGGAGAATCGCATCTAGACTGGCGCTTTTCTCCGGCAAAAACCCCGAGCCGGAAAAAAGCAGCAGCCATGTAAAAGCAAATGCCGTGGGGGATATTTAAATCCCCCGCGGATTTGCAATTCCGAAGTGTCTCATTAGCATCCCTTTTCCGGAAAGGGATGCTAATGTAGACACAGCCACTATGATTATTCAGTGAAATAAATAAAGTATTATAACTGCGTAAGCAAGGATTTAGCGGGGTGAACATCAAGGAACTTTCTGAGACCTCTCTCTCATGCTAATGCCAACAGACTCCCTTTATCATAAAAGATGAAGCCATTGTTAAAGTCAGCTTTGTGGAACATGTTCTGAAAACAGAGGATAACAAAGTGATGCTTCCAGGCCAGATGCCAGATCTTGTCTTGTAGAAGGCATTAGCTAAGAAATGAACTGACAAACACATAGCAGGAGAGCAGATCAGTTCACCTGTTTGCTAGTTTTGCTCAAAATATGTATTAGTCTTATAAGAATGTATTTAGTGTTTTGACTTTATGAAATGCTTTAATCTCACATGTAATATCTGTATTTCATGTGCAATATGTTTGCTTTCTTTAACCTGTATTTAACATTATTTCTCTTTCCTAGTTAATAAGCCTTTAGGCTGCATCTACACAGCACCCTAAACTTGAAATAAGATTTGCAATTTGTGCTACACAAATTGCGTATCTTATTTCATTTCAAAACAGCTTATTTTGAAATTTGGCTCATCTACACAGTGCCAAATTTAGAAAATAATGTGCTATTTCGAGCCATTCCTTATCCCTCATGCAACAAGGTTTACTGGGATGGCGAAAAAGCACGCCAGTTATTTCAAAAAATGTTTTGAAATAACGGGTGGATTGTGTAGATGCAGCGTAGCTATTTCATGATACCTCTGGTATTCCAAAATAGCTGTGCAATGT